AGCTGTGGATCTATAGCGAAATCTTCCAATGTTTTTCTCATTTCACAAACTTCGCTCTCCACTCTAGATCTTTCACTACTTTGCAGGGACAGAATCGTATCGTGCGTGCGCCAGCAATCACAAAATGCAGCGGTCACTTTCCATACCTTTTCAATCTATTTTCGGAAGAAAAAATGCAAGAGATTTATCGATCGCGTTTGGCGAATCCTCTTGCTTTACGCCGCGCATTTGACTACCATCTATGTAGATCCACTGAAGAGCAAGGCAAAAAGCGAATCGCATCAGAGCATCCGATTATTAGACTGCTAAGCCTTTCTTACTTTCTCCACTGTGAATCACACCGAAACTGATCCGAACACTACGGACTACTGCAATCAGAGGGCTAATAATACTGACAAGTACGTATGTAAGAGTTAGGTTTACCGTAAGTGTCCTGTGGTGTTTGGCAATATTTACGCGATTCTCGGCTATACTAATGGCCATTCTGTTCTTCTCCTCAATATCTTCGCCAATTTCTCGTCGTCCAACGAGCGTCATTAGACCAGCGTAGAACGTCATCTGAAAAAAAAACATCACTAGAATGGTTGCTTATGGGCAATGAACGAAGAAGGATCTGACGAAAATCGGAGGAGAGGAAAGAGGGGACACAGATGTGGGCTAGAGGAGGAGGCGGAAATCGCAGCTTCACATACGGCCTAATTTCAAGCAGTCAGTCGGCTCTATCCAAATGCTACCAATCTATTAAAGAGATGCATGGGTTCTGATCGAAAAGACAGGCGTCTATGGCGTGGCGTCAAATGTCGCCCGTTCGCCCTTTGAAAGATGCCCCATTGGCGGAATTGGGGATCGCGACGCACTGGCACGCAACATGGATTACGACGTAGCTAAAAAGATGGCCGGTAGGAAGGGGTTCCTTGTTGAAGGCTTCATAAGTGATTTCCTTCCCTTTTTTATTTTCGGTCAGTTCGGCATCCACACTTTCACGATAGATCGCTGCTACCCTTTCAGTTTTATCTGGGGTGGTGGCTCCAAAGTATAAACTTACGATGCACGGGATCTGAAAGAAACGGAGATATTATAATCGCAGAGGACGGCAAATCGCCTAGGAAAAGAGTAGAGGCTGTATCGCCACGTTGCTAACCCCAACCCCGTCCAGTGCCCTTGCCATATTCCTGCCCCGTTTCCTCCACAGTACTTTGCTCTGCTTTGGAACGACATTTACGTTGAGCTACCGCATCTTTTAGTTTTAGGGGGTTATACGTTATCAATAAAAGGATGATATCTGTTGGCATAGCGGCTATCGGCATCAGCACGTGCAAACGAGCTCTTTTTGGTCACTGGCTCGTCCAAAGGGGAAATCAACGGGAAAAGGAGTCTTATTTCTTGGGTCTTATGTCGCTTTCTCTCGTATCTTTCATGAGTCGTTCACCGTCCACCACCACTCCTCGCAGATCCAGAGGGCAACGATGCCTCATACCATCCGCTTTCAAGAGTCCAAGAGTCTAACGTCCATCATAGCCATCGTCGTTGAGCTAATGGAGGCCTACCGTAATTGCTTCAGCCTTGAGCTCTTTCTGATTTCTTCAACCCCTTCTGATAGTTTTTAGAGTTGCTAGCCTTGACTATGCGAACTCCTTCCCACTTAGCGCTCCAGAAAACATCGCACTGGCTCCATATCCGTAGCTCGCTAAACTTGAACACTGCACCATGTTTCCGTGGCAGTCGTTTGCCTTGGCCCATCAAAAAGAGTCGCTATGTTTGTTATTAATTGGAATGTGCTCCACAATTTCGGGAGCTTTGGTTGAAATTCAGCAGGTTGTAGTTAAAATCGAATGTTGGGACAAAATGTTTTCGTATGAGGCACATGCAAGCAATTCAAAAGCCAACCGATGTCTAAGACAATGCTTTCATTTTTCTCAACGAGTCTGGTACTCGTTACATGACTCGTACGGCCGGGTGGAACAACCCGGCCAGGGAGGATTCCCAGTCGTGACTCTACTTCTGTTTATGAACGCAGTTTATGATCAGGAAGTTAGGGGAATTTCAAGGGCTTGATGCTCCCGGCCCTTGATAGTAGAAATGGATACCTTACTTGGCTGGAGAGAGTAGCGGCTCGAATTTATTCCTGGTCATTAGACATGGTAGTTACATATCAATAGCCCCAGAATGAATTAATTAATGATTGCTCAAAGGCCGTGGGTATTCGAGAAAATTCCAAGTAGTGCTTTACCTGGTAGACGAACGCAACGCACATGGACAACATGTTGCCAGTACAAAGCAGAGTGATCTCCGGCGATGAGGTGAACGAACCGACAGCGTCGGGCAACACGTTCAACACGAGATCAGAATCCTGGACCGACTTCGAAAGTACGTGGAAAGCGATCATTGTATCAGGCAACACTGAAAACTCGCACTTGTACTAATCCACGAAAACACTTAATGAAGAGTGTTTAACCTACCTCGCTCATTCGATGACCCACGCTGTCTTTTTTCCTGGGTGTATCCCTCATGTGCTCGGTAACCCGTTGCCATTCGTGGATCATCAAATACGATGAGTCAACACCTGTAAAAAGAAATTCCACAGTTTTTGCTGGTAAGATCCTCTAGTAGGCCTAAGTCACAAAAATCAGCACACAGTAATGATAACAACCGATTAAGTTGGAGCTGCGAAGAATTCATCAGGAAAGGAAAAAAGGAATCCATCCCATCAAAATAGTATGAATGAAGCGAGAGTGGGTACCTCTAGCGATTGCTCAATTGTTGCAAAAGCCTCAAGCCTCTCGCTAAACATTACTGTACACGAACGCATGCGACCGCTCGCGTAGTTGATCCGAAGATTCACCCAGTTATGGCGGGATAACGTTCTATTTTTCTAAATGCAATTTTTAGATAGGCCATATTCTGATTCTCTGAAAAAGTCAACTTCCTTGATCCTACAAGTCAAATTTTTATCAGTTACATCCACAAATTATTTTTACATTGACTTTTCTTGCGTAAGAGGAGGTGAAGACGGAACTTATGACTAGAATGCACCCCTTTAGAATTAAGAATAGAGAGGGTCAGGGATGAAGGGAAATCCTGAGAAATGGCCCAGAACTCGCAAAGGAACTCCTCCTTGTTCGTTGATTTCCTCATTCATGTGACTCTCATCGGTGGTGCCCTTCTTCAATGCAAACGCTCTCTAAACTGAACTGCTAGAGACCTGCGACTAGTGGTTAGCCAGTCAGTGGGCGTATTGCGTCGATAGCGCGCA